GTTTGCTTTCCAATTCTGTATTTTGAACTCTTCTCTAAGACTTGGGTGTGCATTGTAAATGTCACTCTCTTTTCATAACAGACTTAACATAACAGAGCTGCTCTCTGACTGAACTTCAACACTGTTTTTTTTTTGAGCAGTTTGCTGTTTAATAATTATAATGATGGCTAAAATTTACTGAGCGTTTGTTATAAACAAGCATTACTGTAAGCTCTTTGCTCAGGGCTTCTGAGTGCAGTTGTCTAGGTTGTGCCCTGCACAAGGATACTTGGGTGAAGCAATGAGGAGACTTAGTCCATCTTTATCTCCACTCACTCACGAGTGCCCTGGTGAAGGGTTGTATCCACCTGAAGAGATGATCAAAATTTTCTAAACTGCACAAAAGTGCTGTATGATACAGTCCTGGTCTTTTATATGCATTATCTCATTTAATCCTCACAGCATTCCTGCAAAGTAGGTATTATATTATTGTGGCCATTTTTCAAAGAAGAAGTAAGGCTTAGGAAGTTAAGTGAAATGACCCAACGTCACATAGCCAGTAAGGGAACAGCTAGAACTTTAACCCAGACAAACTTAACCATGATACTAGATCCTTTCAGAAGTGTGAAATATATGTGCACAGATGCTTAATGATAGCAACAGTGCTTTCCCATTTGCAGGCTGGAGCAAGAGATGCTGTGCAGCATCTACCTACCCTGAGTAGCCCTTGTTCAAGTGGCGGAAAGCAGAGGCAAGCTCAGAGCTGTCCCTGTGTCTAGCAAGTTTGATTGTGATGGCTGTTTCACTCGGTGCCTCAAGCAACTCAATGAGTAGCTAAACCAAAATCTTATCAGGTGCTGCAGTTGAGAACCTGGGCTGCCATGCACCTCAGGACTTCACCTGCTACCTTAGCTTAACTTTTGGTTGCTCTCTGAACAGGCAAGGCACATTCTTCTCTGAGTTCTTTGCCTTGTTGCCTGTTTCAAATGCCCTTTCTTGCCATTCCCCCATTTCCGTCTGTAGAAGTCCTGCTCCATTGAGACCCAACTTTAACCTTCTTTCTCTAACTCTATGAACTTTTTTCTAATCCTGCCAGAACCTCTTTTCCTCCTTTATTTCCCTATCATATGTAGTTCATTTGCCTTGTACGGTAATTATTTATGTACATTTGTTACATACAGTTTTATTGTAACCTCTCTGAGGACAGGAGGCGTAGGGTTTGGACTTTGCACAATGTGGGCATTTGTTAAATTAAAGGCCTGGGGACCTAAACAATGGCAAGAGACACCTGCAGCCTCATTATATGCTTTATGTTTTCACTTAAGTAAATGTCTGAATAGGAATTTCATAATCGAGGGAAAGAAAAGCTGGGAGTCTTAAGCCAAATCCACAATGCATTCCACAGCATAATAGATTTGTTTTTTAAAAAATACCTAGTGAATAATTTAATTAGTGCGATTTGCTATAATTAACTCAGCTCCCAGGAGCTGGAGGAGTTATAGATTTGCAAATCCCATGGTACCAGGCAGGTTGCAAACTTGTTCTGAGTTAATTTTTAACTTTCATTTTGACTACAATTATATATTAAGCCCTCAGGCGAGAGTTAGGCAGAGATTAAGTAAAAGGAAAAAAATAGAAAACCATTCAGGGTATTTCTGAGAACATTTATAGACAGTTTATTTTGTGTGGAAATGAACTACTATAAAAAAAATTCAGAGAACAAATATATAACTATTATAACCTCTACAGTGAGTATAAAGCAATATAGAAATTTAAAAATAGTTATTCATTGAAAATATAAATTTAAAATCATTATTCTTAATCATAACTAAAAATATATTTTTATCTAAGATTTTCCCAGTTAAAATTTGAAATTATCAAGGGAAAGTATATTATTATTATGTAATCAGTGAGTTCAAATATAATTAGTAAAGTAAATGACCTACATTTTTATATATTGGATAACATTTACTATTAGTACTTGGTTCTTATCTTTGCATAAAAAATATCTTGCATATAAATTATGTTATTACAGATTTATATTAATGAAGAAAGACAAAACTGGATATTTCAAATGGGTTGATGAAATAGAAGAAATAAGACTTTATAAAATAGTTTAAAGATCACAATGATTCAGTAGCCTGAATCTCTACAAGAGGAAGGTATGCTGCAGCACATGAAATTCTAACAACGCACACAGTCTCACTGAGAAAGAAAAGGGTGAGACATTAAATGGAATCACTGTGGTAAATGGCAATTTCTCTCATAAACTCAGATATTAAAAGAGTACATAAAAATGTTGGCAAAGGTCTCCATAATAAGGATAAGTATAAAGACTTGTGACAGTAGTGTTAGGCAAGCCAAAGTCTTCAATTAACTGAGCCTTCAGAAATGAATGAGTGAGTGAATAAATAAGGAAGCACTGAAAGTATAAAGAGAACTTTTTAAAGGTCCAGAAAAAAAAGTAGGAGGAAGGAGGGGTATATTCACAGCCTAGACAAATGGCAACATTAAGTTGACAGGTGTCTAGGCCAAGGCAAATTACTACTTAGAGACTAAAAAACATGGATTTCTGATCACAGAAATAAAGCAGGTAATTTTCAAGCAACATAGAGAATAGAAAAGGCATTAGGAGCCTTTAGATAAATAAATGTTTTCATAATTTTTTCCAACTGATACAGAATATAAGCAGGTAGTTTGTGAATAGGACAGAAATAGATTACCCACTATGGGTTGTGTATAACTTTTATCATTTGAACTTTATTTTACTATTTATCTTTTTATTCATTCAACAGTTTAGGAGTAATTCTGTGCAAAGACTATGGTTGGCATTTATTTTCAAAAGGAACACTAGTAAAAAAATGTCATGATTTCTATAATTCTTTTGAAAGAAATCGTCCTAGCAACCGTGGGGATATGATGAAGACACATGAATTGGATGGAGAATAGTTAATTAGAGGGGTTAAGACTGTTTGAATAATCATATCCCAAAAAATCTTAATAATGGGTTGATATCAGTTTGACTCTATATTGTTCAACATGTTCATTATTTTTATTAACATTTTTGATCAATTTCTAAAAGCATCATATTTGGGGATTTTCAAGATCTGGGAAGAAGAGAATTATTACAGAAAGAATTAAAATTAACTTACAATGCTAAAGAAAATATGAGAAAATGACATAAATTAAAGTAAATCTTAATAAAAAAGTGAAACTATGATAAAAGTATGTATCATTTTGATGTGCTCAACTATCTTAAGCCATCTTCATCACATTCTAGCTCCCCTCTGCATCCTCCTCTTTGTAACTTACCAGGGAGAATCAGTTATACTTAATGTGCTTGTCTCTCAGTTTCCTCACAAGTGTCTCCACTATGTTCATTATGACCATCACAGCTATATGATCCTTTAAAGATACTGCATAATTCCATTTGGCCTTGCTTTCCATCTGGCTTACTGGCCTTGTGCTACTGTGGGTGTGCCGGTTCCAATTCTTGCTCAGCTGGATTTTATCATAACCTTATCCACCTCTTTTCATACTGTTCCTTTTTCCTGCAGACTCCCCTTCCTTCAGGCGCTGATAGCAACATGCTGATTCCCTCACTTCCTTCCTTCTTTTATGGCCTCTTAAGTCAGTCTCATACATCCTCCAACTGTTAAAAATGCATGCAATAGCATTTTAAGGCCATTGTAACCAACACCTCATTATCCTGTTATTTGTTATTAATAATGACTTTTTAAATGACAGGTTAGCTCTTTTTGGGTTCTAGTCATTCCTGGACTAGACGTTTTCCCCCTAATATGTGCATGTATTTGAGATCTTTTAGCAACGATTCCTTTATGTTGTACTGTTTGTTATGCTTCTTCCCAAATGAATTTGCCCGAACATTTAAAAGAAAAAAAGCACTACATCTTGATGGTACAAGGTGCCGAGATTGCCATTAACACCTGACTCTTTAGCATCATCTTCTGGCAAAAGAACATCATGGTTTATGAAGTTAACTGGCTCTCTATGGAAAATAGGAAGTTGTGGATGTTTTATAGTATCTCTATATTACAAGATTACATTGTAATTGAAAAAGGGAAAATTGCTGGAATGTATACAATCCATGAGACTATTTCTTAGTACATTATATATTATATATATATTATATAGTGTATAATATATATAGTGTATAATATTGCAAATAAAGGAGCTCTTGAGATTTAAAGCTATGTTGACTACAAAGTTTAGAAAAACAAGATATAATGGGAGGAATAAAATAGCCAAAATAGAGAAGGGACATCAGGAATGTAAGATGAGGAATATGATCATTTCTAAAAGCTGCATAAACAGCAGAAAAAAATCCAAAACATTTTGAACATACCTGATATGGATGGAGGCACAAGAGATGGATAATATCCAAACTATTGGAATTTGAATATGTTAGTCAATTTTAATAATTAACTTAAATACAATGGTTTTTTTTCTTTCCAAGGTTGTCAGAGGAAAGAATACTCCCTGATTTGGGGTTATGTTTACCTTTGCTCCTTGATCATGAAAACTGCAGGGAAACTGGCAAAGGTAGTACTCGTCTCCTGTAGGTTTTCAGGAATGAGAGCCTCATGCCTTCAGAATTGGGAGGCTTTTTTTTCAGTGGTTTGGCCTCATGCCTTCCTCAGTAATTGGAGCTCTGCTCCAGAGCCACTAACTGGGTGGATTAACTTTAGTAAGATCCAGCTCCTCAAAAGGAGGAGCCTTGCACCACTGAGAAGCAGTGTGTGAGGTCCTAACTCTTCCGGTCACTTAATTTTGGAGAAACAAGAGTTCTTTTATTGTACAGGCTAGAGGTCTTGCAGAATAAATAACTTTTGTGAAATGTGAGACTCAGATTCTAGCTCTAAGTCACCTGACCTACTAACTTTATTTACAGAAGAACTTCCTGACATCTGTCTTCTTTCTGAGGAGGATTGGGACATTTCCTCCTCTGGGAACTCTCTCCCCCATGAGAATACAGTGCATTTGATCCCCTTGGTACTCACAGCAAGCCATTCACAAATCCCCTTCTGGTACCACAGATGCCAAGGATGATGTTCCTTTGTAGTTCATTCTACTGTCACTACCCATAGAATACCGCTCTCAAGCCACTTCCATATGTATTCTCACCCCTCTGCAGAGGGGTTGGCTCAGAAAAACCTACACATTTTCTCACCACATGGAAATTGTTAGCTATGCAATACCTTAGCCAGGATCAGCTAGGTCTACCTAGCCTTGGTGTCTTTAGCAAATATGGTACACCAGAAACCTGGACCCAAGGCTACAACAAATGAAAACACATGTATCTTTCATAATTGCTTGATTCTACATTCTAGAACACATCTCACAATGACCAAAATTCTTGGAATCTGGAGGGAGAGAAAACAAAGACCATGGCCTCACAAATGTCCATTCATCTCAGTTCCAGTGACTAGATCAGCATTCTCTGGTTTGAAAAATAAGGACATTTTCTCCCAATCCTAATGTGGTTTCCTGGAAAAAAATGATTTAGTGTGTCCAAATATATATGTCACTTCACAGAGAATGCAACAGATGATTAGTTCCAATTTAATAGTTTCTTTATATTTACATACCTGTATACATACATACACATGTGTATATCTTTTAAATGCCATTAATACATATACATTATGTTAATATATTTCCTATGTCCTAATTTGTAATTTAGAATATTTTATAAGAGAGGATTGAGAGGATTGACTCCAATTTTGAAAAAAGTTCTACTGTGAGTCAAATGCTATCAAACAGCAGTGCACATTACAAAGAAAACTTTTGTGAAAGGAAGATTCAATCATTGTGGCAAACTTCATTGTTGTCTTGTTCATTGTTGTCTTATTTAAAAAAATTGCCACAGCCACCCAGCCTTCAACAAGCACCATCCTGATCTGTCAGCAGCCATCAACACTGAGGCAAGATCCTCCATCAGCAAAAAGATTTCAGCTTGCTGAGGGCTCAGATGATCATTAGCATTTTTTAGCAATAAAGCATTTTTAAATTAAGGTATGTATATTTATTTAGACATAATGCTATTGCACATTTAACAGACTATAGTGTAGCATACACATAACTTTTATATTCACTGGGAAACAAAAAAAAATTGTGACTCTTTTTATTGCAATATTCACTTTATTGCAGTGGTCTAGAACCAAACCTGCAATATCTTCAAGATATGCCTATATGTACAGATAAAATTTACATATAATTTTAATTAGTGGGTTATCTATGGAGGTCAAAGTTTAATGACTTCAGGATAATCATCTTGATGTACTTTCAGAGTACCTCCCTAGTCTCCTCTTCTAGCACTTTTCCCTCTCCTAACGCAGGGAATATTGAACTACTTTCTCAAACATATGATACTGTTTGTACCACAGGGTATTTGGATAGGGCCTTTGGGAGAAAACTGGGTTTAGATGAGGTCATGAGAGTGGGGCCCTCATGATGGGATTAGTGTTCTTATAAAAAGAGACACTAGAGAGCTTGCTTTGTACCCCTTACCCAAAGCATACACAGAAAGAGGTAAATATGAGCACATAGGGGGATGGTGGCCACCTATATACCAAGAGAAAGGGCCTTATAATGAAATCTACCTTGCTGGCCTTGATCTTAAATTTCTCAGCCTCCAGAACTATGAGGAATATATTTCTGTTTTTTAAGCCACTTAATCATTAATAATTTTGTTATGACAGCCTAAGCTGACCAATTGATCATGTATAATGTAAACCTGCTGAATTTATTGGTTTATAGCCCATGTGCTCTCTTCCTTAATATCTCCATATACAAGACGTCTGTGAATAGAGATAGTTGTATTTCTTTCTGACTATTCTGGATAAAAAACCCTTTTTATTCCTTATCTTGCCTAATCACCCTGGCTAACACTTCTAATACAGTGTTGAACAGAGTAGCAAAAGTGGAAATCTCTGTCTTGTTACTGATCCTAGGAGGAAAGAATTCAGTCTTTTACTCTTGAGTATGGTGTTAACTGTGGGGGTTCTCTAAATGCCTTTTATCAAGTTGAAGAATTTCTCTTCTTTTCCTAGTTCCTTAAATGTTTTTATCATGAAAGGATATTTGTCAAGTACTTTTTCTGCATCTGTTTAAATCATTATATAGTTTCTGTCTTTTATTCTATTCAGTGGTACATTAGATTGATTCTTAGATATTAAACCAACCTTGTATTCTTGGAATAAATCCCACTTGGTCATGGTGTACAATTCTTTTTTATATGTTATTGTTTTGGATTTTCTAGTATTTTTTCTTTTTTTTTGAGGATTTTTGTATCTATTTATAAGGGATATTGGTCTGAAATTTTATTGTGGTTTCTTTGTCTGGTCGGTATCAGTGCAATCCTTGCCTTATTGAATGAGTCGTAAAGTGTTCCCTCCTCTTCTATATTTTGGAATAGCTTCTGAATGATTACTCTTTAAATGTTTGGTGAAATTTACCAGTGAAGACATCTGGCCCTGGGCTTTTCCTTGTGGACAGTCTTTTCTTTGGCTAATTCAATCTGTTTACATATTTTAGATTTTTTATTTCTTCTTAAGTCAGTTTAGGTAGTTTTGTTTTTGTAGGCATTTGCCCATTTTATCTGTCTTATCTAATTTGTTTGCATATAGTTGTTTATAGTATTCCTTCTTATTCCTGTTTATTTCTGTAAGGTTGTTAGTGATGGTTCTTTTACTCTTGGTTTCATTAATTTAAGTCTTGGCAAAGGTAATTTAGACCTTGACTAAAGGTTTGCAAGTTTCTTTTCAGAGAACCAACTTAAGGTTCCATGATTTTCTCTGTTCATATTCTCTTTAGTTCTGCTCTAATCTTTATTATTCTTTCCTTTCTTCTGCTTGCTTTTGGTTTAGTTTTCTCTTCCTTTTCTTGTTTTATGCCTCTAATCTTGCCCCACTTTTCCCAGCTCGTCATCTTCAACTGTTGCCAGATGCTTAAAATCTAATCCATTCTTTACAAAGTAAAATTCAAATTCTGTTGCATGGCAAACAAGGTCATTCATGACCTTGACCAGTTTATCTTACCAGTCAAATCTACCTTTCCACTCATATCAAATAACCTGGAATTATGGATATATATTTTTTTTACCTCTATTCTTTTGTATGTGTTTTCTCAATTTGTGCTTTTCTCCCACTGACTTTTTAGAAAATGCTTTCTTTAACTCCAGTCACTTACAATTTTTGGTTAGTTATTTCCTCTTCCCTACTACTAACCATTGCTGGTTCAGTGTCTCCTGATTTCCTAGTCTCTGTTTCCAAAATAGCTCGTTGAACACTGCACCTTGAACACTTCTTTTGGAACCCTTACTGAATTTTTTATTAATACACGCCTTCATTGTTCTGTGAATTCCAGGATGTGAGTACCCGTTTTAGAATTATATCCCAGTAACTGACACATAGTAGTGGGTGCTCAATATGTCTGTGGCAGTAGGGAAAGTGGTATGGTCTGGTGTCACTTCGACTGGGAAAACGAGAACATGCACGATGTACTACTGCAGCAACTGAAATAGAAAGAAGCGTTGGAGAATGGTTTTTCACTGCATTTGGCTTTGGTTCATAACACCGAGAATACTGATATTTTTGTGCGATGAATCAACTTTTCAGCTGAGAAATCACTCAAATCCTAATTTTACTAATCTGGAAGAAGGTAAGTTGAAGAATTCGCCAAAGGTTAAGCAGAGTGCAGGTTCCTACAGAGACTATGTCGGAGAAGTGTTTTGATCGTCTGGATTGCTTCCCCCCATCTTTGGGCAAGCCGTCAGCGGTAGCAGGAAGCCCTCAGCGGTGACAGAGGCAGGAGATGAGACAGAAGAAACGTAACACACAACCCTTTTCCTGATTGTCGCCCTTCCAGTCTAATTTGGACGCTTGTTACACATTGCGCATGCGCCAGTTTTCCTCTTTGGGATGGGCGGGGAAAAGCCTTTGCTCCTTTGGCGATCCTGAGGAGGGTGGAACCAAACTGTTTCTAAGGTGACGGAGTAGCGGGCTCGGTGGTGGATTGATCAGGTCTGAGCGAGGTGCCCAGGGCTGCGGATTGTCGGTTCGTCGGCGCTGTCATGGCGGGTGTGCTGAAGAAGGTGAGACGAATGGAGGTCACTATTGAAATTTAGATAGTGCGGTAGAATCAGTCCCTTAGCCCCCATTCCAATCGCTGGTGGCCGTAACCGGCGCGGGCTCGGCGGTGCTTTTTGGGGTCTAATTCTGCACTGCCCTTAGCGGTGACCAGGTTGTGGTTTTGCAGAGAGGGGCAGATAAAAAGCTCCGCACAAGCAGGACAGAGTAGTTAACTGGCTTTAGACGATTTTTAGTCAGGGGGGTCGTGCTATTGCTTTCCTTAGCATGGTGAACGCGTGGAAACCATAATAAACAGCATGAATCGTGTTTTGTTTTTGAACAGACTACTGGCCTTGTGGGATTAGCCGTATGTGACACTCCACACGAGGTATGTACCTCTTTTTTTTTTTTTTTCATTCTTGAGTTCTCAAGGAAGACTGGAATTCTGCGACCTTGACTGTTGCAAGGTTAATGGAATACTGATATTTCAAGCCTCAAATTCCAATCCACGTGAGCTCTTCAGACAGGGGCAGTATCTGTCCTCTTTGCTGATCCGATGCCACTCTTTTTTTTTTTTTGCCATGATCTTTTTATTAAGCCACCTTTGTTGACTTTTTCCTTGGCATTTTCCTGACTTCACTTGTAGGGTATTTTGTCAGCGCCTCTGCACCCCCAATCTGTATCTCCATTTTTCTGCCCCCCACCATTTCTGCTTAGGGTGCCCCAGATTCCATACATTTGAGTTTACTGAAGGTATCGCGCTAGCGATTGCCTCCTTTACCCTTCTGCTGGGTTTTTCCCATCAGTATTCAAAAATGTGTCCATCAGAAAACCCTCCACAAAACTCCCGCCATCCTTCTCTTCCCTTCAATAATCACACCATTTCTCTATTTCCCCGTACAGATAAAACTCAAGAGTTATCTGTATCTACTGTTTCCATTTTTTTTTTTTTTATTCACCTTTGAAGCACACCAGTCAAGCCTTGGCTAGAACTCTTCTTTTCAAGGCCACCACTGATCTCCATGATGCTATATCCAATGGTCAGCTCACATTTCTCATCTTAATTGACCCAATGGCAGCATTTGACACATTTGACACTCTATCCATTAAGCACTTTCTTAATTGGGCTTCAGGACTCCCCAGTCTCCTGTTTTTTCCCCCTACTCTTTTGTTTTCTCTTTTTCTGGTTATTCCTCTTATCTCCACTTTTAAATTTTGAAGTTCTTTAGGACTTAGTTCTTGGATCTTTTTCTATTTAGATTTGCTCTCTTTTGTCTAAGGCCATATCGCCCTGAACGCCCAATCTTGTCTGATTTCCTGATCTCCGAAGCTAAGCAGGGTCGGGCCTGGTTAGTAGTTGGATGGGAGATTTGCTCTCTTTTGGTGATGATTCAGTGTAATGGTTTTAAATACCACCTATACACTTACAACTTTTAGATTTCCGTATCAGACACTGACCTTACGCTTTATGAAAATCTTGTATATTTAATTGCTTAGTGGACATCTCCATTTGTATGTTAGACAGGCAACTCAAACTTAACATGTCTAAAATGGAAGTCCTGATTTTCTTTCTAAAACCTGCTCAGGCTTGCTCATCTCAGTGAATGGCAGCTCCATTCTTTTGACTCAAATCAAAAACCTTGAAATTATCTTTGATTCCTTCTTTTATCTCACCCCGCATTTGGTATTTCAGTAAATACTCTGATTTCCACCTTAAAAAGTTAGCCAGATTTTGACTATATCTCATCACCACCTCTACTACTACCCTCTTCTCAGCCATTATCATCACTGCTGTGTATAATTACATTAACTTACTAACTGCCTCTCCATGCTTGTCACAGCCTCAGTTTGGTCTTTTCTTAGCCAAGTAACTGGAGGCAGTCTGGAAAAATGTAAGTCAAGTCATGTTACTCCTTTCCTTAAAATTCTCTAATGGGGTTCACTCTGGTTTTCACTCTAAGTAAAATAAAAGTCCTTATAAGGATCCTCCAGTTCACTTCTATTGATTTGTCTCTCTCTACTAGAATGTAGGTTTCTAGAAGGCAGGAATTTATTGTTTTGTTCACTACTAAAACTCTGACTAACACATGGTATATGCTCAGTAAATAATGTTTGTTGAATAAATGTCTCATACTCGTTATGAGTTCATAATGACTTTAGCCTCATTATTGTCTGGAACTGAACTCAAGGTTTTTCTGCTTCTAAGTGTATTTCTTCCTCTGTGGACTGTATTTTTCTTGGTGTATCAGAATCTTTCTACACCCCAAGTGCCTTGTTTCTCCTTCAATCCTTTTAACTCACTAATGCCAGGTTAATTTTCCTAAAACACAGATCTAATAATATGATTTTCCTAAATCTTTTAATTGTCCAGAGAATAAAGCCCAAATGCATTAAACTTGGAATGCAAAACCGCTTTCAATTGACTTTTTCTCCCATCTTATGTGTTTCCTAAGCATTTCCTTATGTGTCCTATACAGTAGTCTCTCCTTATCCTTGGGAGATATGTTCCAAGACTCCCAGTGGATGCTTGAAACTATGGATAGTACTGAACATATATATATGATGTTTTTTCCTATATATACCTACCTGTGATAAAGTAGATTTCATCTACTACTTCAAATGGCATGCAGTTTAAAACTTACGAATTGTTTATTTCTGGAATTTTCCATTTAATATTTTTATACAGTATTGATACCCATTTTATACAGCATTTTATGCCCATTGATCATGGGTAATTGAAACCTTGGAAAGCGAAACATCTGATAAGGGGGGTCTACTGCATTCTAACCATGTGCCGTCTAATAAGAATATAATGTGAGCCATAAATATGAGCCATGTTTGTATGTAACTTTAAATTTTCTAGAAATAATTTTTTTAATAAAGAAAAAAATAAATTTTTTTTCTTTAGAGATAGGGTCTCACTTTGTTGTCTGGGTTGGAGTGCAGGGTCCAGATCATAGCTCACTGTAGACTCAAACTCGTGGGCTTAAGTAATCCTTCAGCCTCAGCCTCTTGAGTAGCAGGGACTATGGATGTGTGCCACCATGCCTGTCTAATTTTTAAGTTTTTTTTTTTTTACAGACAGGGTGTTGCTATGTTGTCCAGGCTATCTCAAACTCCTAGGCTCAAGGGATACTCCCATCTGGGACTCTCAAAGTGCTGGGATTACAGACGTGACCTACCACACCTACCCACTCAGTCTATGACTATATTCAGTTAAATTTGATCATACTGATAATCTAACACACACCCACATACACACACACACACACATTTTTTTTTCCTACAGAAATTCAAATAAGAAAAATTGGAGAAAAGGAATTTGCAGTGCCTAGGACCTCAATTTGAGAAATACTGATTTAGTAAATTATTTGATTTCTGAAAAAGGTCATTAGCAATAAGTTAGTTTTATTTCTACTTGTTATCATGCCTTTGACTTATGTACAACTTTAGTTATACTTACAGCATATAGAAAGAGTTTCCACATTAATACTAAAAATGTTCCTAAGTTGTAAAGAGTGTGGATAGGGCATAGACATGAAGAAGTTGCAGCAAAGAAGAGTTAAATATTTTTTTAAAAAGCAGATATGAGATTTTTGTTTTTGGATTTTTCTGTTTTGTTTTTTGTCTATGAGACTTTTTAAAGTGTTTTATTAAATCTTTGGTAATATTTTAACCTATGGAAATTTGCATGGTTTCTTTTCAGAGGCTAAGAATATTGTATACAAAGATTCTTGATGTTCTTGAGCAAATCCCTAAAAATGCAGCATATAGAAAGTATACAGAACAGATTACAAATGAGAAGCTGGCTATGGTTAAAGCGGTAAGTAGCTAAATCAATTTTGTTTTCTTGGGTTTATGGTATCTAGTATAACATTTAACCAAAAAAATTCAGTTTCTTATTTTTTGTATTTTTTTATTATATACTTTTCTTTCTTCTATTTACCTTCCTTTGGTGCTTTTCATTGTTTCTTCCTTTTATTCAGCAAACTCCTGTTTGAGTGCTTTCTATATGCAGGGTACTATTAAATACCAAGTGCAAGAATAAGATCAAGTCCCTGCCTTCAGGTAACATTGTAGCTCTTCCTTTACCTCTCTTTCCTATTTAGTCCTTTAATGATCTTTTGCTTCTTATCTATAGATACATCAATCTTAATCTCTTCAATCTCTTTTCTAATCTTAGAGTACCATGAAAGCAAAATGAAAAAAGGGTGTTGTTTTTAAAGGAAACTGTCAAAAAGACTAGACCTTTATTTATTTATTTATTTATTTTTTTGAGACAGAGTCTCGCTTTGTTGCCCAGGCTAGAGTGAGTGCCATGGCGTCAGCCTAGCTCACAACAACCTCAAACTCCTGGGCTCAAGCAATCCTCCTGCCTCAGCCTCCTGAGTAGCTGGGACTACAGGCATGCACCACCATGGCTGGCTAATTTTTTCTATATATATTAGTTGGCCAGTTAATTTGTTTCTATTTATAGTAGAGACGGGGTCTCACTCTTGCTCAGGGTGGTTTCGAACTCCTGACCTTGAGCAATCCGCCCGCCTCGGCCTCCCAGAGTGCTAGGATTACAGGCGTGAGCCACCGCGCCTGGCTAGACCTTTATTAACTAACAGTTAATAAAAGTCTAGACTGCTGATTCTTTCTTACCAAACTGTATTACACCGTTAAATTTTCACACTAGTAGTTATTTCATGGACTTCATGTAATTATCCAAAATAGTGTTCATAAACTCTGAAAGTAATTTACATACATGCATAAGTGACCTTAATATATATTTCTTATTAGATTTCCAAAATGTTGTTCAAAGAGAATTCATATTTTTTCCTTAGGGATATAGCAAAATAATCCAATTTGATTCAGAACTTTTCTTCTTAGCTTGCAAATTCTGGAAGTAATTTCTAGATTAAAGACTCTAAGGGGGAAGTTAACATTTCTTTATTTTTCATGTTTTTCTTAAGGAAGATGAGTTTATGTATTTTTTTCCCATCAGAGTAAGAAATTTCTTTTTTTCTTTTCATGGGGTGACTCTTTTCAACTCTGTCCGTAATTCCTTTTCTGCTGTCTTTCTCAATAATCTTGTTCCCCTCTATGCTCTATTTAGCATCTCTCATTTTATTATCTTTCATATAGCCTCAAAATATATTGATAGCTTGTCCCTATGATAAAAGAAAAAACTAGGCCGGGCGCTGTGGCTCACGCCTGTAATCCTAGCTCTTGGGAGGCCGAGGCGGGCGGATTGCTCAAGGTCAGGAGTTCAAAACCAGCCTGAGCAAGAGCGAGACCCCGTCTCTACTATAAATAGAGAGAAATTAATTGGCCAACTGATATATATACATAAAAAATTAGCCGGGCATGGTGGCGCATGCCTGTAGTCCCAGCTACTCGGGAGGCTGAGGCAGGAAGGATCGCTTGAGCCCAGGAGTTTGAGGTTGCTGTGAGCTAGGCTGACGCCACGGCACTCACTCTAGCCTGGACAACAAAGCGAGACTCTGTCTCAAAAAAAAAGAAAAAACTATATTCTTATATTTTCCTTTCTTCGCTCTATTTTTCTTTTTTCTCTCATAGCCAATGTAACCAAAGAATAGTTCTCTAACTTACTTCTTTACTTATTAGTTCTAAAATCTTTCTCTGCTATTTCAGTTGCCTTATAACTAATTGATCTATTTGAATGCCATCATACTTCATTATATGTCCCACACTGCAAATTATAGAGTGAGTTTTTCTATATGTAAATCTTATCATGGTACAGTTGTCCTTCATTCATGACCTATTGGTTCTAGGACTCCTGTGTATGCCAAAATCTAGAGATGCTGAAGTCCTTATATAAAATGGCATAGTATTTGCATATAACCTATATATGTCCTCCTGTATGGTTTAAATCATCTCTAGATTACTTATAATACCCACTAAGATGTAAATACTACATAATTTGTTATACTGTATTTTTTAAATTGTTATATTGTTATTTTTCATTGTTTTTTTCTCTAATATTTTCCATCCACACTTGGTTGCATCCACGGATGCAGAATCCGCAGCTATGGAGCGCTGACTGTACTTTCCTGCTTTAAATCTTACCATTCATTGTTTTTCAAAGGCTGAATTTAAGGATTTATGCTGAGCTAGTTGTATTAAACTCACTTAGCTACTTTTATCTGTATGATTTTGATGTATAGCCATGTTTTGCAACCACCAACTTAAGAGGATAGTCCTTTAGCATGGTATGGATAGCTCCCTAAGGTCTGGCTCTTGGCTATCTTCTTTATCCTCTCCTGTCATTTTCTATTAGGTTATTAAATATGAAATGTCCGATTTTGAGTCAAAAGTTTAGCTTATTATATCTCAAACAAGAAACAGTATAATTAATCAAAATATGCACCTAACCTATCAACACAGTTTACCTTCTTAATGATAGCTTGTTTATGCCAGCAGAGAAGAAGCCTGGAGAGCAAGTGGCAATGAAATCAAAAGGTGTTTGCCACAGCTTGTTGAGAATTGAATATTTTTCCTTGGAAGAAGTGGTCCAAAGCCTGCAAAAAGTGGTAGTCAGTTGGTGTAAGTTCTGGTTAATAAAAGTGAATGACAGAAGAGTTTCCAAGTCCAGCGTCTGTAGTTTGAGCAGTGTTGTTTGTGTAACATGTGGTTGAATGTTGTCTTGCAAGAAGATTGACTTGTTTCTAATGATTGATCTCAGCTGCTTAATCATAAGCATCTTCATAGTTTCTTCCAGTTGGTTGCAGTAGATATTTGCTATAATTGATTGACCAGATTTCATGAAGTAGTAGTGTATAATACCAGCGCTGGACCACCTAACAGACACCATTAGCTTTTTTTGATGAATATTCGGTTTTGGACTGTTTCAGTACTTCATCTTTATCCAACCATTGTTCCAAATGCTTGTAATTATCAAAAAGAATCCATTTTTCATCATATTTCTACAGTGTAGAAATGGTTTGCCTTTATGTTGTGATAGCAAAGAAAGGCAAGCTTTGAGATGACTTCTTGTCTGATGCTTATTTAATTCACATGGGACCCATCTATCCAGCTTCTTTACTCTGCTGATAGTTTCAAATGTTCCAATATTGTTGGAATAGTAATATCAAACCTTGCTACTAATTGATGTGGTTGAGATGTAGGTTGAGATGGCTTCACTTCCACTACAGCTTTTTGCTCATTATCCATCTTGGTCTCAGGTCACCCACGTGGCTCATTTTCAACATTAAAATCACCAGAATGGAACTTCTCAAACCATTGCCCTGCTGTGGATTCATTAGCCTCACACATCCTTCCCAAATACTTCATCGATATTTCAAGCTGTCTGTGCTGCATTGGTTTCAAGATGGAACTCATTGAAAAATAACACGAATTTTTGACTTATCCATGGTTTCACAAAAATTGCTCTAAAAAAATTTGAAAGACAATCACAAGCCAAACATGTGTTTGAAAGAATGAAGATGTACCTTCACCTTAAAAATAAGAAGTGTCAAAGTGAAATTCAGAGATATCAGCTGTCAAACTTAGTACTTAAGGAAATCAGACATTTCATACTTAATAACCTAATATTTTTATATCCTGTACTTTAGTGATACCAAACTGCTGGCATTTCTATGGATTCCATGCAATTTTAGTTTTGTGTTCATTTGTATTTTTTCTCTTCCTGCAATGTCCTTGCCTTGTCTGTCTGGCAGTTCTTACTAAGTTCTCAAGAGTTATCACTTCTTCTGTGAAGCTTTTTCTTACCTTGCTAAATAGAATTTGACATCTTCTTCACTATCTTCCATTGTACCTATCACATTGCATTTTATTTATGTTTTTTCTACTAACCATAAGCTATTTGTAAATGATATTGTAGTCATCTTTGTATCCTAAAACTATAGCATAGTACCTGGCACGTAAAGTCCCATAGAAATGTTTGTTTATTCAAAAGGCTAAATACATTTATTTTTAACAACTCCAAACACTTGATAACAGCTGTATCACTGATTCCTGTTTTTTTGGTAAAATTATAACAGATTTTTAACCCTGTATGGAGTCACACACAAAATCTTTGGTGATTATTGCTATGATTATAAAGTATCTATTTACTAAGTCTAAACTGGAAATAAAGCAATTTTTTTTGGATTATTACTAGGGAGATAGTAATAACATATTGTTAAAAAGCATTGGTTCGTGTCCTGTCCATGATTTTCATCTCAGTTCTGATACTTGCTTGATGAGTGACTTGGCATATTGTCCATTTTTTCTGTCTCAATTTCTTTATCTGTAACTTGGGTATAATAACACCTGCCTTGAACACTTTCTGTTAGGACTGAATGAGGTAATATGCATAAAAAGCTTAACAAAGGCCAGTGCGGTGGCTCATGCCTGTAGTCCTAGCACTCTGGGAGGCTGAGGTGGGCATATCCTTTGAGCTCAGGAATTTGAGACCAGTCTGAGCAAGAGCGAGACCTTGTCTCTACTAAAAATAATAGAAAGGAATTAGCTGGACAACTAAAAGTATACATATGTGAAAAATTAGCCAGGCATGGTGGCACATGGCTGTGGTTCCCAGCTACTCGGGAAGCTGAGGCAGAAGGATTGCTCAATTGAGCCCAGGAGTTTGAGGTTGCTGTGAGCTAGGCTGATACCATGGCACCCTAGCCAACGCAACGGAGTGAGGCTCTGTCTCAAAAAAAAAAAAGCTTAACATAGTCCCTGGCATATAGTGAGTACTCAGTACATGGTACCTTAAAAAGTTAATGATGGTATTATGCTATTATTAATAAATCACATCATTGATTCACTATCAGTAAGACAAATTTTGAATTGTTTTCGTAACAGAGGCTTTTCCTCAGTATTGTTGAACATTTTACCCTTCTGAGTCTCTTTTGACAGTGACCAGCTTCCCTGTTTTGCTTTTGATTTTTGATCTCATAGCTGAATTAATTCTGTATTAAATAATCTTTCTTAAATTTCTTCATTTATTTTTTCTCTCTTATCCTTTTTTCAGCTGTTTTTTTATTTATTTACTTATTTAACCAAGAAACATTTATTGAATGACTATTACATGCCATGTATGGTTCTAGGCATGGAAGCTTGTGCCTAGCTAGCAATGAACAAAACAGATGAAAATCCTTGCTCTCCTGGAGATTACATGTTAGCGAGGGAGGCAAAAACAAAAAATAAAAAAGTAAATAAAGAAGTACATACTTCTAATAGTATGTTAGAAGATAGTGCAGTGAAGGATAATAAAACAAAGAATAATGATCTGTGCCATAGTGGGGAGGGGGAATATTTAAATATGTATTAGTTTCCTGTGGCTGCTGTAACAAATTCCCACAAACTTAGTGGCTTAAAACAGCAGAAATTTATTCTCTTAGTAGGCCAAAAGTTGGATATCGGTAGCAGGGACCCAAGAGGTATCATCAGTTTCCTGCTCTCCCTGGAGGCTATGGGATAGAATCTGTTCCTTGACTCTTTCAGCTTCTGGTGGCTTTTGACATTCCTCGGCTTGTGGTCTCATTGCTCCAATTTCTGCCTCTGTGTCTCTGTGATCACATTACCTTTTCCTTTTCTGTGTGTAATTTCCTTCTGCCTCTCTCTTATAAGGACATTTAAAATTGCATTTAGGGTTTACATGGCTAATCCAGGAAAATCTCCCCATGTCAAGATCCTTAATTACTGGGTAATCACTTCTGCAAAGTCTATGCCATATAAGGTAACATTCACAGGTTCCAGGAATTAATACATGTATGTCTTGTGGGCATTATTCAACTTACTACAATATAAATCATCAGTAGTCCTCATAAGAAGGTGATATTTGAGCAAAGATTTGGAAGGGAGTGAAGAAAGAAGCCATGCAGGTATCGTGGGCTATCCAGCAGAAGCTCTGAGGCAGGAGTGTGACAATTCTTGTGAAAATAACAAAACTTTGTGTTTTTTTCCTCCCTTTTTTCATTCCATTTATGGGCCAAAAAAACCCCAGAACACCCTGATAATAACAAAGCTTTTTAGTATAATTTCTGGCTCTCAAAAAGCTCAGCCTACAAGAAAATAAAGATGTCATTTAATGTTCTAGGAACCATATTTATTAGCATTTCATTTAAAAATGTTTTATTAAAGAATAATGTACATTAAAAATGTGTGGGAAAAAAAGGACATTTCTAGAACACCAAAACCTTTGTTTGTTCCCTTCCAATTTACTTTCCTCATAAAGGTAACTACTAGCCTGACTTCTAACACTATAAATTCATTTTATTTGTTTTTGAACTTTATATAATGGAATCATTAGTATGTATTCTTTTGTATCTGGCTTCTTTTGCTTAATATTATGTTTGAGAGAATCATTTATTGCATATAGTAATAATTCATTTATTCTCATTGCTCTATAGTATTCTGTTATATCTAAATAACCATAATTTTTTGATATACTCTGTTGTAGGTGGTCATTTGGGTTGTTTCTAGTTTGGGGCTGTAATCTGTGCTGCAGTGAACATTCTTGAGCACATACTTTGTTTAACGTATTGTGCATTTCTGCTTGGTATATATGTAGGAGTGGAATTTCTGGGTCATAGGGTAGCATTTGTTTTTAATGCTAATGCTCTCAAAGGAAATAAAAAATACTAAGAAAAATGAAGTGATATTATAAAATCTGTGCTTTAGAAAGATTGAATTAGATATCTTTAAAAATGTGTCAATAAACATTTAACACTTGTAATATTAAGACAAAAACAATAAAATATCAGATGAAATGAATTTCTATCAAATATTTAGTAAAAATTTCATAAGAATATGATGAAAGAAAAATTATCAGCATTTTTTTATATATGGATTTTTAAAATATAGGATATTGAAACATTCAGATGTTGTACATTTAAAATTTTTTTTCCATTTTTTTCCTGAAATGATAGGAACCGGATGTTAAAAAATTAGAAGATCAACTTCAGTGTGGCCAAATAGAAGAGGTGATTCTTCAGGTAAAGATAAAGTTGAATATTTAGGTGTTTGGCTTCAAATTTTCATTTTATATAGACGCACAAAACTAACATTACAGAAAGAAAGGAAAACTAAATTGTTTTATTTATATGAACTCATCAAATGTAAGACTAGTTACATATAGAAAATGTAGTACTTCTAATGTGTATATCAATTAAATATCATTGATTATAGATTGAATTTGTGAGCCTCTATTAGAAGTGTGAAGTTTCATGCTCTCTGAATTCAGTCAGCATGCCCTCCTTCACCTGACCTTCATTTAAATTAGTAACACCTTTACTAATCTTTTTAGATATAGTAGCTTAAGAGTGTTGCATATTTTTTAAGAGGGAACAATATAATGTTTTGAATCATAAAATTAAAATGTACTTTTGTGTTTTTTTTTTTTGTTTTTGGAGCTTTTACCAAATTAAAAAACAATTAATTGCATAGTATATTTGAGAGCTTGATTTTACATTGTTTCCCAAATACTAACCCTGACAAATAACATATTTTGTTTTTCTTTTTTTTTGTCCCTTTAAAAGCTATTTCTGCCTACAAATAACATGTTGAATAGTAAAATATAAGTATGATTATGAAGAGACATTGGGATTAGAAACATTATCGTTAACATTAATTACATTTAGAATACTTAAATCTTAAATTATTCTGTTTGGAAATCTTTTTCCTTTTTCTCTCACTATAGCCACTACTTATACAAGGAAGAAAAACTTCTAAACCTCTACAGTTTAATTTTTTTTAATCTGAATTTGAATTTTTTCCTTTTGGTCATAGATAGCTTATAGAAATAAATAGGCTACAGATGTACATAGACAAGAAATATATTGTTTTGAGTAGTCTATAGTTGGCTTTTTAAATCATCTACAGCATTTTTGTTAAAAAATACAGTATTTTTGCATTAGAAACAGTGTATAGCTCATCTTCATAATAGTGGCTTTAAAGTAGTAATCATTAGATTTTTTTTCTATATCTGAGATTTAGATGATTTATAATATTGGACTAGATTTATACTAATCCAAGGTAGATGCTAAAATTAGCTATATGGAATAAATCCTTTTCTTCAGAATAATTTCTTACTCCCTGTTTTATGTAAATTAAGAGCTGAGTATGTAGCAAAATGACCTTTTTTTTCAGTGAAACATAGCTGTAGCCTAGAAAATAATAGCTGAATCAATAGCTTAATAGCATTTTATTAAGCAATAGCTTAATAGCATTTTTTAATAGAAATTGGTTTTTATAAAAGTGTTTTAACATCATTATAGAAAAATTTAAGATATAGAGAAAAGCCTTTTGCTGTTATGAATAATGCTTTAATGTTTGTTCAAACTGTGTTTTTTTCATTTTTCTGTTATCTTATTAGGATCAGTACCTTGAAGTGAAATTACTAGTCAAACATTTCTTACATAATATGAGTTAAATTCTTGGTCCGTATTTCTAAACTATTTTCTAAAAAGATTAATTCCTAGTGCCACAATAGCAGTGTTCCAAAGTAACCAGCTTCGACACATCTATGCTAGTTTAATTTAATCAGGAAAAATGGTGCCTTTTTTTTTTAAGTAGTACATTCCCCCCCCCCCATTGCTAGCAAGATGAAAATTTTAAAATATGTTCCTGTATTTTATAAGTTATAACAATAATATGTTTACTCTGTCATTTGGTTTTAATGTTATTTATATATTTCTTTGAGTGGTTTTTTAAATCATAAAAGATATTAACCTTAAACTTTTAACCACATTGTCTGCACAAACTGTTTTTAGTCTGTTTTTTGCCTCTTGACTTCAACTGAATTTTTTCTCCCGTATGTAGAAGTTTTTAAATTGTGGTTAAATTTTGTTGCTTCCCTGACCCCCAATATTATAGGTTTAGAATGTCTTCCCCTTATATGGGTGTGATAAATATTCAATTCTGTTTTATTTTTTATATTTCTTGTATCTTTTTTCAACTGTGTCCATTTTTTAAGTTTTCTTGCCTTTTGTTGAAGGACAGATTTAAGGAAATATTGAGTAGTATTAGAGTTTAGGAAGGTATAACACTAACAGACATGATATACCAATTGAAAAGAATTGTTAGATGGCTCTGGAAAAAGAGGAATATAGCATTCAGATGGCTTTCTACAAAGTAAGACTTTTTCAATTGTTCAAAGGCCTGTTTTTCTGGCCTTGATATTCATTTGTCAGATTGTCATGGTACTAACTTGCTGCAAACCTCTTACCTTTTGTTACTCTTTCCTATGCCACGATATTTAACTTTGATCATGACTTTAGTTGATATTAATTTATCATAGAATTATAGTTTTAAGGCATATTTGATATTTTTAAGTCAGCTGTATAGTTCTCCACATTTTCATGAGTTGTATTAAGGTTGTTAAGTTAATTTTAATAATGTTCTATTTAACACAGTATAGCTAAAATATTATTTAAACATATACTCTTTATAAAAATATTGAAATAATTTACATTCTTTTTTTATACAAAATCTTCAAAATCTGGGGTGTATTTTACCCTTTGCAGCACACCTGAATTTGGAGTAGTTATGTTTCAAGTGCTCAATAGCCACATGTGGGTAGTGGCTACCATATTAGATAACCCCATTTCTAGATGGATGACATGAGAGGAATGAGAAAAGGATAGTGTGTCAGAAGAGGAGGAAATGGGCAAGATGGGCCAGGCACAGCTGTGTCCAGTGCCTGAGGGATAGGTACTTTCCTCATGCTCTACAGTATCTTAGGGAGATAGAGAAAGCATGGATGTTCAAGAGACCCAGGGCAAAAGTCAGCCAGGGACACAGCCAGCCTTAGGGAATATTTCATCAGTATTTAAATTATTTTCTCATTTCAGCATTAGCAATACCTCTATCCCCTGATTTCTATTCATCTGTTCTTTAACTCATTGTTTGTATAATTGCTGTTAAACATAGATTGGCTTTTTGGACCACTGACATAAATTGGACATTGCCTTTTAACTGCAGAATAATATTAATAATAGCCTCGATATAACCTAAGCACTTATTCTGTTTTTGGATTCCTTTTCTAACATCTTGACAAGTGTTTAATAATATTCATCTTCTAAGTTGGCTAGAGTTGTCATAGGTCTTTTTTTGTGGTAGAAAAACTATGAAATAAGAAACTACTTGGGAGTCTGAGGCAGGAGGATCACTTGGGCACAGAAGTTCAAGGTTATAGTGAGCTGTGATTGGCTCCACTGCACTCCAGCCTGAGCAATAGAGCTAAGACTCTGTCTCTTAAAAAAAAATTACCTATATTTGTTAAATATGTTATAAATTGTGTTTGAAAGGAAAAATAAAATGAAACATAATCTGAGTAAGGAATTAATTCAGTCAGTAAATATTTGTCATACACCTGTTGTGTTCTACATTACACAGATGACTGTTTTACAAACTCTAGGTCTTAAGCAATTATGAGTCATGAAATCAGTTAGGTGGATAGTGATTAACATTTAAAAAATGCAATAGAAAATAGAGTGAATTACTGCTAGTAAAATTTTAGTTATATGTGTGTAGTGTGGATTCGATAGTAAAGTGTATTTTTTTACTGTGAGCCACAGTAAAATAAAGTTTGAAAGCCACTGGCATAGTTAAAGAGACATACTTCTGATTCTCAAAAAATTTACATGAAACACAATTAAGATAAAAAATCACCAACTAAACTTTTGAACACTAATTAGAAGAAATCAGAAGATACCCTTTCTTACTTAAGATTGTCTAACTGTGGGGATTAAGGTAATTTAAATATATAGTAGTCAACATTTAATGGTGGAATAGGTCATGAGGTATTAATATAAAAGTAATAGCTCTAATAGTCAGATTTTAGTTATTAGCTTTGATAAATATCTGTTAAACAATAAAATAAAATGATCTTTTAAAAAATTTTTATTAACAGGCTGAAAGTGAACTAAGTCTGGCAAGAAAAATGATGCAGTGGAAACCATGGGAGCCGTTAGTGGAAGAGCCTCCTGCCAATCAGTGGAAATGGCCGTTATAATCATCATTAAATGACTTTAGCGGGTTAATGGGAACTTGATACAATTAAATGTGTTATATTTGAAATGTGTCTAAATTATTGACATTATCAAGAAACTGATACAGAATATATTTAAGAGACTTGTTAAAAATAGTGATTATGGGGTCTCATGAATCAGTTTTTGATTTGTGAAGTAGTCACACAGGTTATTTCAAAGATGGTATTTCTTTGAACAGAGAAGTTGTGGGAAGACTTGAAAATGAATTAGAAAAATTCCTATAGATGTTCAGTACAGAGGACATAATGGAAAAGTGAAATATCTCTATTACTATTTTCAATATGTCATTTAATTTTTTTATCCTGAAAAAGAGAAAAGGCACTTAATTATTATTGTCCAAACAAATTTATAGGTCACTGTTTGAAGTAAAATAGTAAAAGTGAATATTTTCAATTGTGATAAAATAGCAAAAGTAGCTGGTGCTAAAATTTGAAATTATGGCTAACATCTTTGGCTATGATCTTAAGTTTATAAAGTAAAATTTAAATATATAGTTATATACTGATTACCAAATCAATAATAAATATCATTTTAATTTAGGCTTTATTTGAATTACTTATTCCATTTACTTGGTTTTATGTAGTCTTAATTTTATCATTTGTTACCCTATTTTTGAAAATTATCAAATTAGAATTTATTGTACAGTTGAAGAAAGTGGTACGTGAAAGAAAGATTTCTTATTATACAGAGGTAGTTGGAAAAACTTTTCCTTTTGTCTCATTTAAGGAAGTTAGCTTTCTAGCCTTTAGCATTTAATTTTCGTGATCAACCTAACTATATCAGGTTAGAGGTAGAATTTCTGTAAAAGAAGAGACATTAAAAGTTCCTGAAGTTTATCTGGCTTATATTCAAAACATCTTTGTTAGATTACTATAAGTTCAAAGCGGAATCACTGAGTAGTTTTCACTAAGTTTCTGAGTATAGGTGGGTATCAAGACAAATACTGTTCAAGGAAAAAACTTGACAAGCTTAAAGTTAAAGAAATAAAGTTACTTTTCATGTGTTCTCACCTTTTCTTACTAGCACCCCAACATTTCTAAATACCCAGTTAAATTTAAGTTAGTATCACTTTCCTTCATAGATAGTACTTTTGTGGGTATGCATGTATGCACTGTTGCCTATGCATATATGTGTATATTTTGTTATCTTTTGTTGCAATCCAAAATCTTTCAGAATAAGAAAGAAAACTGCATTTTTCCTTTTTTCCAGTATATTTCTCCCCTCAGAGAGCTGTGACATGAATGCCAAATAATATTCAATAAGATGGATTGAGTTAACTTCATAGAGGTTAGAGTGCAAAAAAGCTCTTTCTGGTAGGGAAGTGGGAAAAGTGTTGGAGAGTCAGAAGTTCAAGGATTCTCGTTCCCATGATTCTAGTGTCATCATGAACTCAGTAACTAAATTGAGGCAAGCTATCAGAATGGCCTATTTCCAACTATGTAAAAGAAGTGAAATTTATGATTTATGACAAAGTTTTAGCTCTAAACATTTACTTAAATATGTAATACACTCTTGAGGCCAAAGTATTTGATCCTAAAATATGTTTGCATGGATGCTTTCAAGCTAATGTCCTAAGTAACTATTTATTCATGTCCTTTGGACACATAAAAACAGATGGGTTGGTGTGCCTTTGTCATACTTTCAGTCCCAATTCTCCCATGATCTTTGGGCATCTTTTATATTTTACCAATAGTGTTACTGAAACCTTGTTGTTAAAAGGGAATCTTACTGGTATTTGCATTAAAAATGCAAGTTGTAGAATAGTCATCTTGTAGAAACAATATAATAAGAATAATGTTTGTTTAGACTTAATATGAATGCCAGGCACTGTTGTAAGTACTTGACTAATTTCACTCATTAAATCTGCACTGCAACCCTAAGAGTGAGATGCTGCAAGTTATCTTCATTTTTCGGATAAGGAAACCAGATCCAGTGTCAGTAGTTTTCCCTTGCAGTTGTGCAACATGATGCTGTGGAGCAGGAGGGGTCCTCAAACTTTTTAAACAGGGGCCAGTTCACTGTCCCTCCTTGGAGGGCCATGGGAGAGTGTGGCTCACATTCCACACATGCGCCCTGTGGGCCAGGGATGAGTGGGCTACTAAGCAGGACAGGCAGCAGTGGCAAAAACACCCTGCGGGCGGGATAAATGTCCTCGGTGGGCGGGGCCGTAGTTTGAGGAACCCTGCTGAGTGTGGAGGAACTGAAGCAAAGCGATGGTTTAATAACATTCAAGATCACATAACTAGTAAAGATGGGGAACTAAGTTTTGAATCTAGGCAGTCTGGCTCTAGAGGTCATGCTCCTACTATATTATTCTTTATACTTGGGATGCTATCGCGCCTGCCTGAATTGTACGGGCTGTACCAAATGAACCTAGATCCTGCTTTCTTGACTTTTTATGTTGAGAACATAGAGAACAAATATGAAGAGAAGTAGTAAACTAAATTTCAATTTGCAAAAGTCTTCATATTGCCCATAGGCAGATAATGTTAATGAGAGGTGTCTAAAAAGTATTGCAATTTGGTCCATCATACTTTCTGCCGTTCCAACTGCCTACACAGTCTTATACCTGATTGTTTTTTACTCCTTCCATCTTTTTCCAGTTGTTTTCTACAAATTTCCAGATTGAGCATCCTGATCACTTTGGAAATGATTCTCTATTAAAAGATGTTCAGTGTTTTGAGTGCCTTCTAGACCAATTTGAGTAATTTTCAGAATGGCCCATTTCATTTCTCCCTATAGGTTTCATTCAAGTTAATTGCTACACTCTAGATACTTCAAAAGAAAGGGAAGCTAATCAGTTTGAATTTTGCTAACAAAGAAGAAAATGGCAGCAAAGTTGATGTTTCCTTTCTCCCACACCTAGACTTAGTACAGAAGATTCCAATTTGGGGGCATTCTTTTCCTTTGGGATGAAAATGCTTATACTGAGGATAACCATATAATTTATCATTCAACCTGGAATGATTTTGAGGATAAGAGTGTTAGGGACCGACCTTCCACAGCCCCACCGGACAGAAAAGCAGAGACATCGAGGATGTAATCATACAAGAGGAGGTTTATTTTCTGGCTAGCCAGGGTCCAAGCCCCAGAGCAACGCAGTGGCCACTCTCAGTGGCCACTCTCGCAGGCAAGGACGCTGACCGGAACTACGGCATGCCTTTTATCCCCATGGTGCACAAGCTGCGCACAAGCTGATCACGCATGGATCATGCGTTGACCTTTAAAATGATTGGTTGCCCACTATTGCCTTTTGAAATAATTGGTGGGTTGGTTGCCCTCTATTGCCTGATGGGCCAGTCGCCCGTGCTTCAGTGACCTCATCCCATAATTCCCCATACAGCGGTGTAGCAAGCAAGCAATGACCAGAAGCAAAGGTTTGTGGTTAGCTCATTGCCCCACCCAAGTAAATTCCCGACAATTGGAAAAATTCCTTTGCCCTTCCTCTGCCCTACAAATTCCTCTGCCCTACAAGAGAAAGTATTATTATGATAATTTCATAAGGATAGTATATGTCCTGGGCAAACAGGACACATGGCACCCTACTGCAGTAAGACTCAGGTCTTAGGGTTGCCAGGAGAAACAAAGTAGTCTGTTATCTGAATAGAATGAAAGTGATGCCAACACTAACAGTCATCACGTGCAGTCTGGCCTCAGGTTTCATTGTATCCCTTCACTCTCCAACATTCTCCACTTGCCCTGTCTTTCCCTTAGAACTAGATGGAAGAAAGGAGGTTTAGCTTTCATTGTGTATTTTTCTAATCCTAAAGTACAGAGGAGTGAAGCTAATTAAGCCAATAACAGTAATTATGAATGTATCTCTTTTCAAAGGGAGAAAATCAATTATGTATGCATAGGAAGATTCCCACATATAGGCTAATATCAGCTTTGTCTTTCTCCTCCCAGCTGCCATGGTTATATAAACAAACAAGTTAACACCTGCACAAGTGTGTTCAGGAGTATTGAGTTAAATACCAAATTGCTGAACATATGAGTATTTTGCATTTGCTGAGTGCTGTCTTTCCATTACAACTCAGTGTTCAATGATATTGTAGCCTATGCTATAATAATAGTTTAGTAATGCTAATTTTTTGAGAAAAAAGTAAATGAGAAGATAGGATAGGAGTTCAGTTTAGAGGAGGATGAGGTTTTGTTTCAGATAGGATTCACAGGAAATCAAAGTGCGAATATAGTAATTGGTTTAAATTACTGATGGGGACTAGATGAATTTATTTGAAAGACTATTTAGATACAATAAGTAATATTTTAGATAGTGAAGAAAAGTAATGAGAAAGCTAGTGACAGAATAGGCTATGCTTAAATCCCAGTGTCTTAACACGAGTTTGTTTTTATATATATTTCATGTCAAAGCAGGATTGACAAAAAGTGCTCATAAGAGTTCTACAAGAGATCCAGGCCAAGTATGGCACCATCAACACATACTTAAATGAACATAGTAGTGGGGAATTGGAACATGGCAAATCACACATAGAAACAAAGAAGAATCAAAATCAAGGTTAAAAATCTGTTTTGAATGTGCCACAGAATTTATATAAGTTGAGTTTGCCATGCATTGCTTTAATTTTCAAAGTGATGTTTAGGTTTATATTAGCAGCTAAGTTTTTAGGGTATGTCTAAATATAATTTATGATATTAATAGATTAGTTCCTATATATGACTGGAAATAAAAAGCATTGCAAAGATTTCTTTTCTTTTTTTCGATATTTCTCATAATCTTTAATCATTTTTTTAAAGTTAACCTTTTAGCTCTTCTAAAGATAAGTATTACTGTTTTATTATAGAATATTGTCATCCTCTTTTTCTATAGCTGAAGGGTGGATTCTTCTTTTTCAGGGTAAAACAGGTTCATAATACCTTATCTAAATCTCAAATTTAAAAATATCTCTGAAAATAAAATTTTTTCATAATTCATTTGGCAACAAACCTGACCTGAATTGATGTAAGGCTCTTCGTGGTCTTTATCCCACTTTAATGTGAAAATGAATATATTTTGCTATAGAAATATTATCGTTTTTGATTCTGGACTGTTTTCCAGACCCATTGAATGTGTTACATAAGGTGTATGCCATGTTACCTTTTAAAAATCTGTATAATTCTGAATATCAAACACATCTATCTCAAAAGGTTTCAGAAAAGGGACTATGGGCCCATATTTCCAGTCGCTTGACAAGCTCACAAAGAGTTATTATGATGATCCAAATTTAATCCACATGGATAATTTCCAAAGCATAATTTCCACATCCTTTGTATTCTAAATTATTCTAATATTTTAAAAAATTCATTCATTTTAGCCTGGAGTAACGGTGGGAATTATTTTGAGATGCTTGATTTTATAAAGCCACTAGGTGGCATCTTTGTAAATATAAAAGCACAAAAAAGAATGCTTATATAAATAAATGCTGAGACAAAGTGAAATGTTTCATGAGAAATAAAAATAAGTCATTTGGGGTAATAAATCCTGAGAAAATGCGTAGATTCATTGTGAAAATGAAAATGGAAAATGATATTGTAAAATTACTCTTCCACTTTTGGAGACTCTAACCTCATTGAGACTCTAACCTTTCCAGGCCTTATAGGCTACCTAAGAAACCTAACTGTTGAGTTAGGCTCCTATTTTAAGATTGAGTTGTATAAGTTCATCTTCACAGCAAACTATAAATAAAATATGAATATATAGTGGATATCAAGTCACATTTACCACTGTGAGGTAAAGATCTCTACCAGCTGTCTTTCTTCCCTCCATCTCCTCTCTCTATTCATAAACCTAGTATTTTCATACTGTTTCTAACATGGAGGACAGACAATGTATCATAAATTTTGAAGAGGAGACTCAGAAAAATGTTTAAAACCAATGGAATTCTTATTAGTAGCAGAATTTAAGATACATTATGATTTTGGAGATGGGAGTGGGTGTTTGGAAAAACTTGTCTGCACACCTCCCTACCTGATCTACCCATGAGAGACTAACTGTTGTAGTTACTTGCATGCCCTTTCTCCCCTGTTCTTCATGAACGTGTGGAAGTGATTAAAATGCATTTGCTTTTACTTAAAATCATTACTAAAACTAAGCCAAATGTATCTGAGCATATAATACATATTTAAATTATCCTAGTAAAAGTATCTATTTTAAAATGAGGTGAAGACTGAAAAAAATGACATTGGACATTAAGAAGTTAATGGGGAGGTGAGTGCAATTTGAGCAGAATGATTTAAGGAATGAAGACTCTGAGCATTATGAATGAGGGAATGAACTTGCCCTATATGTATAACAAAAATTTTAATTTTGTTAAGCTTACACCCTTTTAAAATATCAAATGGTGTTAAACATAGTAGCGTAAAATAGTGGCTTAAAATCTAGGATCTGGAGTCAGATTGCTTGGGTTTAATCCTGGTCCCCTCACTAAATGTCTTTGTGTCTTAATTTCCTCATTAGTGGAATGGGGCTAATAGTAGTTCCTCCTTAATAAAATCATTGTAAGGATTAAATTAGAAATATGTGTAAGGTGTTTAGTGACAATATTTAGTAAGTGTTAGCTACTATTATAAGACAGCCACATGTAGTTTGTGACTACATCTGCAACAGAACATACTTGACCTTTCCCTCAATACTATTTTGTGCTTCTTTAAAAACTAAATTTATATTTTGGGGGGAGGGGGGAAATGGGCATTTATTGAAACCTTAAAATCTGTACCCCCATAATATACCAAAATAAAAAAAAACAAAACAAAACAAAAAAAAACTAAATTTATAGAATTTATTGAGAGAAAAAAACTCATTATAACTTAGTTTTTAACATAAGCGTTGCTTTTGCTGACTTGTAAGGGGAATAAATAGCTACTGTCTCCTTTTTCTCTTTGGCTGCCAGGAAGCTAAGAGCCAAGTTGTAAATTGAACAAAAGCAAGTAGGCACCTACTGTTGTACAACTGTGTTCTCCTGTGACAATTTCTTGCCTCTGAGTTCATATTTATATTTTCTCTGATTCTGATTTTTTATATCTGTAAGTTTAAATTGCTGTCAGCGTTTGCTTCCTAGAACTGTGCCCTTTCACAACTGTTAAAGTGATCTTGAAGAGAGATTAACATTCTTTTCACTTTCTTGCCTCTGGCCCTCCCCCCTCCCCTGCCCTCCCCTCCCTCTCCTCCTCCCCCCCTCTCCCCTCCTCTCGCCCCTCCCCTCTCCTCCCCCTCCCCCCTCATATTTTCCCCGCCCCGCCCCCTCGCCTTTGGCCCCTCCCCTTCCCCCTGCGCGGGGCCCTGGCGGGAGGAGGTGGAGCCAGGGCCGTTGCTAGGATCCGGCAGGTAACAGAGAGTCCGGCAAGTACAGACGCTGCTTCCGACGAGCCTGAGAAGCCGCTTCGATAGGGAGTAGCTGCGTTTCTTAGTCAGGTAGGAGAACAGGTTCTGGCTGCACTCTCCTGGCCCAATGCTTAGGGCCGGTGACTCAACTGCGCTGGACTCTGGGGACTGTGTGAGGGACGCCTGGAGCTGCCTGGTGGGTCAGGAATGCAAAGCATCCTGTCTTTCTGGGCTCCTTTTCCGGCCCCGCCTCTCTGACTTGGGATTTGGAAGCAGCAGCATCAAGCTAGGAGGTGAACCTCACCTCCCACCTCACACTTCACACACACTGTTATCACGGTAATAGTAGAGAAGCAAGACCTGGGCATAGGTCTCGCACTGGAAAACGTTTAGCCTTCCGTGGCTACCATTTTCAGTTTTGAGTAAGTCAAGGGCTTTTAGACTTTCCTCACCTGGTACTCTTACTCCTTCCCCTCCACTCACGGTCTTTGCCTCTTAACAAACTTAAAAATTCAACAAGCCTACCTATTCGGTAGAAGGCAAGATTTACCTGTTAATACACCAACATTCTAAATGTATCAAGCTTTAAATGGTAAGAAATGAAATGTATTCTATGTGAAAAGATGGACTTTTTCATAAGCAAACCTAATAAAGGCTGCTCTTTTATTTTTAAACAATAAGATTAAGACATTTATGTTTGAATAGGTAATACATAAAAATGATGAAAAGTTCAAATAGTTAAAAGGATAAATAGTGAAAATCTTCCTTTTACCCATTTCCCCCACTCCAGGTCACCTTCCAGAGGTATTCTATGCATACACAGACATGTAGTTGTACCTGTAGCATTGTACATATTGTTCTGTGCTTTGCTTTTAAACTTAACCTGTATCATGGAATCATTTTCTATCAATATTTACAGATTGGTTTTATTTATACATTATTTATGTATGTATGGGTGAATGTATGGATTTACTTTTAGTTGTGAGAAGGTATTTCTATGCATATCAGGAAATTTGGAAACTCATAAGCAAAAAGATAAATTTTACCTAACAATCTAAAACTTGTATATGGTAAAAGACAATATAAACAACATTAAATGTATGATGGGAAATATAAGTGCAACATACAACAAAGGGGCATTTAATTGTTAAGACTTATAAACCAACATAAGGATGTAATGAAACAATCAAGGGGCTGTTCTTGGGGCTGTGATGTGGTGAGAAAGCAATTTGATGGGATTTAACAGAATTAAGATCTGCATGCCTTTTGACTTACCCAATCTGAGAACTTATTTTATGGTATACTCACACATGTATGCAGATATATATGTATATGCAGCACTATTTTTAATAGTATGAAACTAGAAACAGTAAATGCCCATCAATAGGGCAACAGTTGACTATAATATGGCTTAGCTCTGCAATGAAATTACTATGAAGTTATTGAAAAGAATGAGACAATCATATGTTTTATGTAGAAATAAATATATTAGTTAAGTATATATTAAAAATAAGTTATAAAATAGCATTAAAGTTTAAAATATACAGAAATATAATTTATATATTAAAGATGTATTAATATGATCATAAGCAAATTTATATATATATGACATTATATAATTGTAACTTCATAGACAATTTCTGGAAGGATAAACTGTTAAATATTGCCTAACACTGAGGAGTAAAATTAGGTTATTAGGCCAATAAGGGGATACTTTTTTATTTCATCCCCTTCTGTCAGATTTATTTTTTTCTTGTAAGCACATATTGATCTGTTAAAAACAACAAAATTAACAATAATGAAAAAAACATTAATTTTAAAAAGTCTTTTCAAACTAGCTATCAGGCAGTTGCTACCTGTTAGGGCTGGAAATTGACAACATTTTACATTTCACACTGTAATATGTGTGCTTTGTCATTTGCATTTAATATCTGCTGCAGCATTTATGCATGTTTATATATACAAGTAGATCATGTTAATATACATATGGGAAGTATTAGGAATAAGTAAAATTAGCTTCTTATTCTAGATGAGTGAAGAAAAAAATCTGTTGAATATTTTCTACTCAATTTTAAATTGTAGTTATCTTTCTCACTTAAAAATAAAAGATAGTCTTTGATAATGTGTCTGATGGAAAAACTGTCATTTAAATTCTGGATCTGACTACTGTTAACCCACCATGAGGCATTCCTGTGTCTCAGTTTTCTTATCTAGAGGAAGATCAGTGATTCCTAAACTTTTTCTTAATCCTAGTACCCCTTTCCAAACCTTCTAACCTCCATGGACTCCTACACTGAGATGCAACACAGTAATCTTACTGGTTAAGATCATGGATTCTGGATCTAGACTGCCTGGATTTGGATCCTAGATCTACTGCTTACTAGTTCTGTGATCTTGAACACATTATTTAACCTCTCTGTGTTAATTTCTTTATCTATAAAATGAGCATAATGATATCTACCTGTGAGGATTAAATAATTTGTTGTATATCCTAATATGCTTTATTTTGAAAGTATTTTTTTATACTGAATTAAATGAGTAATTATGTAATACCTCTAAGGCATTATTAATGTATAATTATTAGGCTTTTTGAAATTTTAGTAATAGTTGATCAGTAATTAGCAAATATCTATTAAGTGCTCACTGTATGCCCGGCACTGTTTGCGAACTATTTTATATACATTATTTATATACACTGTATTTCACAGTTGTACAGCTAGTAAGTACCAAGAACTGTGAGGGGTCTCGTATTTTACCCTATTTGCAAACTAATAAGTTAGTTTGTCACTGTTTCTTGGGTGCTGGGTCAGAGACAAAGGACTTGTAGCAAAAGAAGTAGCCAGTGCTTCAAGTTTGTGCTAATTTCCCATGTCCCCCCCCAAGCCTATAGGGGCAACACAGGTGAGTCTACATGGATGTCTGCACATGAGGATTTTACTGCTTTTATAGTAATCCAAAGAAATCCTGTCTTTTGCTTCGGTGGGAGGAAGATGTAATATCAAGCTTTGCGGTTTCTTTTCACAAACACAACCCTGAGAAATGGCCTGGGTAACCAGTGGTCATGGCCTTGCATTTTTATCATATCAAGCATGAACATGTAGGGACACTCAGGGCCATGGCAGATTGCTTACATCAACAGGTAGTTGCTAAGTTAGGATTCCAACCCAGGCAGTCTAGCTCAAGAGTTGACTCTCCTGAAAGCCCACTTTGGGAAACCCAAGCTGAGCATTGCTGTATTGGATGACAGTGAGATTCTTTCTGATTTATAATCTCCATAATTTTATAATTTAGAAACCTTAAAATTTCTTATTTTTAGGTTGAATAGATGTTCATCACTGCTGATCATCATAAAGGTAATTGCTAGCCACCCTCTTTCAAAGCAACAGTTTGAAAACGTATGTAATTATTTAGCTGACTTGTTTATATCATTAATTAAGGACCTCCTGTGAACCTTAGGTACTACTATACACAGGCACTACAGATTACAGAGAAGTGTGATCAGTACCATCTTATTTATAAGAAGATATCTGGCATGGAGGGGAGCAATCCAGGACATTTAGCATACTAAACTAGTAGTGAGATGAATATAAGTGTTAGAAACCATAGCAACTAGGAAAGGGGGGCAGTTGCATTGACAAGGAAAATGGAGGGGTGTTGATTTATCCAGTACCTATCAAAGTAACCACTTTATAATATGTGGCTTCTGTTTGTGACTGCATTGATTTACATGTCTCATGGCTTTAAATACTATCTATAGACTTTTGACTCTCCTCCAATTTTCTATTTCCAGGCCAACTTCTCAGAACTACAAACTACAAACCCAGTGTCCAATGGGCATCTTAAACTCAGAATGCCCCAAACCAAACTGTGAGCCAACTCCCACCTGTACCTCAAACCTACTTTATTTGCAGTTTTCCTCATTTCAGCCTAAATTCAGCTTCTTCTAGTTACTGAGGCTAAAAATTTTAATATTACTAGTATCCTTGATTCCTTTCTTCACCTCACAGTCCACATAGTACATAACCAAATCCTTTCAGCTCTATTTTCAGAATATATCCAGAATCGGACCATTTCTCCCCATCTCCTCCACCATAACCCTGGTCCATTTCACCTCATGTCTGGGTTACTGCAATGTATTTCTGTAGATTCCTGCTGAGCATCTATTCAGCCTAAAAATAAGAAATTCACATTCTTCTGCCTCCCATAATTTCTTTAACAAAACAGCAGCCCAAGAGAATCTTTTAAACTGTTAGGTCATTATTTCCTTCTGCTGTGCCTCATTCAGAGTCAAGTCAAAGTCTTTACAATGGTCTACAAGGCTCAGTGTGATCTGATGCTCTCTCCTCACAGTCTCTGATTTCATCTTTGACTATTTTTCCCTTAGCTCACTGTTCTCTAAACTAGTCATCTAAATATCTAATAGACTTAGATATTTGCTGTTTCTTATTTCTCCAATTTCCTTTATCCTCTTCCCTTCCTGATACCCATCCCAGCCTCTGGTAACCATCATTTTACTCTTTATCTTCATGAGATCAACTTTTTTTAGCTCCCACATATGAGTGAGAATATCTGGTATTTGTCTTTCTGCACCTGGATTATTTCATTTAACATAATGTCCCCCAGTTCATCCATGTTGCTGCAAATGACAGGATTACATTATTTTTTATGGCTGAATAATATTCTATTGTGTATATATACCAATTAATATATATATATATATATATACCAAATATATACCAAAGAAATCCTGTTTTTTGCTTGGGTGGGGGGAAGATGTAATATCAAGCTTTGTGGTTTCTTTGGTATATATATATATATATATATATATATGCACCAAATATAATATTCTATTGTGTATATATACCAAATTTTCTTTTTTCATTTATTTGGTGACAGACACTTAGGTTGTATGGTGAATATTGTTGCATTTAACATGGTAGTGCAGATAGCTGATTGATATAATGATTTCCTTTCTTTTGGATATATATCCACCAGTGGGATTGCTTGATCATATAGTAGAACTATTTTTAGGTTTTTGAAAGGCTATACTGTTTTCCATAGTGACTTTACTAATTTACATACCCACCAACAGTGTATGAGTATTCCCATTTCTTTGCATCCCTGCCAGCATTTGTCATTTTCTGTCTTTTTGATAATAGCCATTTTAACTGGGGTGAGATAATATCTCATTGTAGTTTTGACTGCATTTCCCCAATGATTAGTGATGTTGAACATTTTTTCTTATACCTGTTGGCTATTTGTATGTCTTCATTTGAGAAATAACTATTCAGATCACTTACCATTTTTTAATCAGATTTTTTTTTTTTGCTATTGAGTTCCTTGTATATCCTGGTTATTAATTCCTTGTCAGATGGATAGTTTGCAAATATTTTCTCCCATTCTGTAGGTTGTCTCTTCCCTCTGTTGAGTGTTTCTTTTGCTGTGTGAAGCTTTTTAGCTTGGTGTAATCCTATTTGTCTATTTTTATTTTTGTTGCCTGTGTGTTTGAGGTCTTATGCAAAAAATTTTTGCTCAGACCAATATCCTAAAGCCTTTTCCCAATGTTTTCTTAGAGTAGTTTCATAGTTTCGGGTCTTACATTTAAGTATTTAATCCATTTTGATTTGATTTTTGTATATGGTAAGAAAAAGGGGTCTAATTTCATTCTTCTGCATTTGGATACCCAGTTTTCCGAGCACCATTTATTGACGAGACCATCTTTTCCCCAGTGTGTGTTCTTGGTGTCTTTGTTGACAATGAGTTGTCTATAAATGCATTAATTTATTTCTGAATTCTCTATTCTGTTCCATTGGTCTGCGTATCTGTTTCTATGCTAGTACCATGTTGTTTTGGTTACTATAGCTTTGTAGTATATATGAGGCTTTTTATTTTTATTTTTAAAGTGGTGGTAGCATGGATGGAGAATGGACCAACACATTACATTTTCTAAATTTTTGAATATTTCCTTTAGTAGTGGAAGTTTGTGTCAATTTTATTGTTCCAAGTTGAAAAATACTCATAGAAATGATAAAATTTTGTCACAATCTTTCAAATATTTATACTTCATTTCTTTTTCCTTAATGTTTAATAGCTTCAATAACAAGGATCTTCCTTTTATTCCTAACTTTAATGAAAGTGCTTCTAGTGTTTATGTAAGTATGTTATTACAAGTATATACCCTTTATCAGGAAAAGGAAGTTTAATTTCATGTTTAGCTCATAATTTAAAGAAAAATCAGGAATATGTATTGATTTTTGGCATATGTATAGTCAATGTTTTCCCCCTTTTGCTCAGTAATATAGTGAATTATGTTAACAAATTTTATAATGTTGATCTTTGCATCCTTTATTTATTTATTCACATATTCAAGTCAAGATTTTTTGAGCACGTGCTAATTGTCAGGCCTGTTTCTGGACTTAGAGGAGCAGCATTGATAAGGCCGAAAAGATTCTTCTTCCTGCGAAAGTATTATTCTAGTTTACAGATAGTAAACAAGTAAGTGAATGAAAACCACTCATGGTTTTTAACATGATTAGATCTGTGAAGCAAATAAAATTGGGGATGATTGGGGTGTGATTATGGGAGGCCTCCCTAGAGAAGCTGTATTTGAGCTGAGACATGGAAGATTAGAAGGAATTAGTTATAAAGATCTATAGTAACATTCTTAATAGAGGAAACAGAAAATGCAAAAGCCTCAAGGTGGAGATCAACCCTAGATATAGTAAGGTGTGGAGGGGTGGTTACAAGATGAGGTCAGAGGGGTAGGCAGGAACTAGTATTTAGGACTTTGAAGGCCATGGTGAATACTTTAGATTTTATTCTAGAAAACATTTTATTCTAGCGGTATTTAAGTATGAAAGGGGCATGATCTGATTTATAAAAAATATTTCTTTGGCTGCTGTGAGAATAATGGATTTTTTGGGGGGCATTCAAGGGTGAAATTAAGGTGACTAGCTATTGCAGTAATACTGTCAAATATGACAGAGTGATGGACAAAAGTAGACTGAAACTAAGTTTTCAGGTCACCCTTGACAGGGCTTGGTGAGTGACTAGATAATGGGTTCAAGAAAGGGAAGTATTAAAAGTGACTCCCAAAGTAAACCTTACTTGGTTATGTTATATATACATATGGTGAGAGAAAGGGGTCTAATTTCATATATATAATTTATTAATACTGTTGTAGATAATTTACTCATGTTACAGTTATGACATTTATTGTCTTAGGGCTAGTAGGATCTACTTTACTTCCTTGGTGGGCATCAGAGCTGATTTGACCTCTCTCTACCTTGGTTAGATATAGGCATGGCTTCCTCTTTATGTGTCTACTCTGGCAGTGCTTTTAAATGTTGTGGGCCAATACATGGGACCTTTTCCACACTAAATAGTATCAGGTGGAACCTGACAAAGTTTCAGAGCATAGGTGAGCAAGCATAGTTCCTGCTGGCTGTGTGAGAGACAATGTAATTGCTGTTGTGAAATGGTCATCCTTACTGGATAGCTATGAGAATAATCACAAGATGTGAACTCTCTGAGGCTCCTTGGTACTGGTTGATGGATGGTTCTTATTCTCCATGGGAGACAATTCCCCATTGTTCTCTTATATTTCTGTTCAAGAGACACTGACAACTTTGTTCTGGATTGTCTTTCCAAAGATATTTGTGTAGTGAACATCATTGGAAGACAGATAGTGTCTCCTTCTAAAGCAGAGGTCAGATTTATCTGTTGTTTAGTATAGTAACAATAATATCATATTATGCAAAGGTTGTGAAAATTTGCTTGCAGTTCATTATAAAGGATTGGAGTTCTTCAGCTGTGATGCAAACCCATTGTATATGTAGCATCTAATTGAGCTCTTCCATATTGTCCCTGTGAGACTTGGGGGCACAGGAATTCTATATGAATATGCAGCTAATGCTATCTGCTGTGCCATGAGTAATAAAGTCCTTTGTCTCTGACCTAGGAATCTAATGTATGCAGAAAGCATCCATGAAACTATGGCAAGCTAAATTGTTAGCTTGTAGGTAGGATAAAATCTCCGATTCTTCACAATTCTCTATTCCTATTCAGACTTACTCTTTTTAATTTTTTTTTAATTTCAGCATATTATGGGAGTACAAATGTTTTTTTACATATATTACTCTTGTCCCACCCATTTCAGAGCTTTAAGAGTGTCCATCCCCCACACAGTTGGCACTGCACCCATTAGGTGTGTATATGTCCATCCCCTGGTCCCCCTTCCATCTGCCCGACACCCGATGAATATTATTACTATGTGTGCACTTAAGTGTTGATCAGTTAATACCAATTTGATGGTGAGTACATGTGGTGCTTATTTTTCCATTCTTATGATACTTCACTTAGCAGAATGGGCTCTATCTCTATCCAGGTAATATAAGAGGTGCTAATCACCACTGTTTTTTGTAACTGAATAGAACTCCATGGTATACATATACCACATTTTCTTAATCCACTCATGTATTGATGGGCACTTGGGTTGTTTCCACATTTTTACAATTGTGAATTGTGCTGCTATAAACATTCTAGTGCAGATGTCTTTTTTATAGAATGTCTTTATTTTCTTTGGGTAGATGCCCAGTAATAAGATTGCTGGATCAAATGGTAGGTCTACTTGTAGCTCCTTGAGATATCTCCATATTACTTTCCATAGAGGTTGTACTAGTTTGCAGTCCCACCAGCAGTGTATGAGTGTTCCTATCTCTCTGCATCCATTCCAACATTTATTGTTTTAGAAATTCTTTTTTAAGGTTCTCTTTTTGTTACTCATTTTTACTTTCTGTAGTATTTTATTTAAAATTTTTACCAATGTTTTTTACCTGATGCCATTGCTAAGATAATAAAAAAATAATAAGCAACATTATAGTATATTATGAACATTACACCAGCAATGTATTTGATATTTAGTGTAAAACTTTTATCTGTGTAGTAAATGTGTTCATTTTTCTTAATTCAGGAAATGTCTGACCAGAGAGAAGAGTACTACTATATTGAGGATATAGCTGAATCAACGGAAGACAGTGATGATGATCTCAACACTGATGATATTCCAGTACACCCAGAAGAGGCTAAAGAGTCAGATCAAATTGATGATCCCAACAGTGTCGATATTCCAGTTCCCTCAGAAGAGCCTCAAGAGTCAGATCAAGTTGATGATCCCAACAGTGTCAATATTCCAGTTCCCTTAGAAGAGCCTCAAGAGTCAGATCAAGTTGATGAAAAGAGAGAGATCTATTTTCTCTGATATTAATATAGCCACTCACACTCATCTTATGTTTGCATAGTCTTGTCTTTTTTCATCCTTTTACTTTCAACCTATTTGATCTCTTATAGACAGCATAGTTAGATCTACCTCCGAGTAAAAATGACCTGATTACAGTGATTTAAATAAGAGATTTTGTTTTCAAATGGCAAGAATTTGAAGTTAGTCTTTTTTTAGACCAATCGGCCCAAGACTTAAAGACAAACTTATAGTATAAAAATGACAAGTCTATTGACTCATTGGAAAATAGAAGTAGGAAGCCATTTGTTAAATATGAGAGCTTTCCCAGTAGGCCTAAACTGCATTGCCACTCCTTGGATTATGATGTGAGAGGGGGAAAACTTCTGTGTTATTGCAACAACTGTGTTTTTTTTTTTTTTTTTTTTTTGAGACAGATTCTCGCTTTGTTGCCCAGGCTAGAGTGAGTGCCATGGCATCAGCCTAGCTCACAGCAACCTCAAACTCCTGGGCTCAAGTGATCCTTCTGCCAGCCTCCGAGTAGCTGGGCTACAGGCATGCGCCACCATGCCTGGCTAATTTTTTCTATATATATTAGTTGGCCAATTAATTTCTTTCTATTTATAGTAGAGACTGGGTCTCGCTCTTGCTCAGGCTGGTTTAGAACTTCTGACCTTGAGCAATCGGTGCACCTTGGCTTCCCAGGGTGCTAGGATTACAGGCGTGAGCCACCACGCCTGCCAACAACTGTGTTTTGATGTCTTTAAAAGTTGTTTAATAGTGCCCAAGTGAATACATATTCTATTAATTTTTTTTAATTTCAAAAATAAAATTGTGTCATAGTTTTTTGTTGGCT